CACCCTCTACGGATGACAAAAGTGGAAAAAGGATGTTCCGGTGCCACATACCTGAGGAATCGGTTTACTGCCATCGTGAAGTAAGGGCAGTCGGTACTTAGGCTTAACATGAACCCAGATTGTCGGGGGCTGGCCCCCGCCAGGACATAGCCAAAGGTGTCAGCGTCAGCTTCTCTAGGTCTCCTCAGGTACGATCTCGGGAACATGTCAAAGAGCGACCTAATGTCCTGTGCAGAGGGGGCTTCTTCCTCTGCAGTAGGCGACATGATCGGATCTCAATCGGTCGAAGCAAAAGATCCTCGGAGAACCCAAAGGCAGGGTCATGAGCCCTAAGAGGCGGGGTGAGGGGGCACAAAACATCATCGTTGAGATCCTCGTCCAAAATCTTGGCATGGTCCTTTGGAGTTGATGTGGACCCCTCCTGAAAATCTGGGGCTGCATCATTTAGGTCTATGACCTGGGAAGACGGCTTCAGGCTTGGGAACATACCGAAAACGGCAAAGTGGCACTCTTTACTACTCTACTCTCTAAGCCTGTATGCTCGGGCGGGCGCCACAATAATCTCGAAACATGGTAAGTGTTGGCCAAAAGATTCCCACACCAGACACTCACAGCATGCATCGAAGCGCGTGTTCAGATCCCTGTACAGAAAAGCAAGAAATGAATCCTCGCCCCCATCAGCTACGAAAGTGACATCAGAGAGTCGGGTGGGGAATCGGGCCAAAACAATCTCTAAGGACCTGAAGTACTGCTGCAATTCCCAGCACCTGTTGTACCACCATCGCCATGCTTGTTTCATCCCACGAAGGTAGTACCACATAAGGTGGACGAGACGAGACGACAGTACCGACGGCAATGTTTGTAACACGTCACGGAGCTCATCACCCAAAAGAGGACTGAACTCTGCAAGATGTGGAGGAAGAACTATGTCAGGGATCCAGGGCGGCATGACTACCGAAAGGCTGCGAGCCGAACCCTGTTTGTCTTGGAAACTACCGACTGCCACGTTGCTGCCATCCTCAGTTGTCTCGCAGGGATTTTTTCCGCGATCATGCAGAGTGTCTCAGGTCAGCCAAAGGGCATGCAAGCGGCTTCGTGAGAAGGCCTATGCTCTTCAAGTATAGCAGCCAAACGAATTCAACTCGCACTCATGCTGCTTGTCACTACCGACAAAGACATGCACAGGAATGCAATTCAATGACTCTCGTCAACAAACCAACAACAAAGTCAGCAAACAAACTAAAGGATGCGGGCCATGCGGCAAAAAACAGAGTCATGCAGTCAGTGTAAAACAGTGCGGCAAGGAAAGACAGTCCGGCAAAGGCAAGGAAACATGCATGAATTCACGGTGCTCAGCCAAGGGGCATGCAGAAGGCAGTGCAGCAGAATAAAGCACAGCGATAAGTACAGAGCACTTAACTCAAAGTAAAGGTTTGCACTGCCATCTGCTCAAGGCTAGCAGCTGCGAGCACTCATCGGAAAAGCGGGATGCTGATGCTTCTTCCGTCCCCCATGTCGATGCTCACTTGTTGTGTGCTGCGGTGTGGTAGGGCTGACTGAAGATGGATCTGTCGGGCTCCACCTTGCAAGATCGGCTCATGAGAAGGTGGAGGAAGAGGAGGCCTCCCATCTCCATGTTGCGGCAGGTTCACCGGCACTGGTGCTTCACAGTACGCGCGGATGGTCTTCATGAAGGTCTGCGAGGACTTGCGAGATGTTCCAAAGGACGTCCTTCTGTGTTCCCTGCTCCGTTTGCAGGAAATCCAGGGCTGCCAGGATCTGCTGTCCGAGAAGCTCCAGGGGTGTAGGGTTTAGGGTCTCCTACATCCCCAGCCGATGACGTCAGCGACGTTCTATGGTGAAGGGGTAGCGAGGTGCCAATGCCAGGGTGAAGCTGGAGAGCTGCAGTTACGGTGTTGCGGTGCATGGATCTCTTCACGGGGGGGGGGGGGGGGGGGGNNTGGTGGTCGAGTTCTACCACAACACATCAAAAACCATAGACTGTACCGTACCCCTATAGTCTCTGAAAGGCTTCCTGAGTCTATAACACACGAGTATATTATAAGAGCCGGAGCGCAAACAAACAGCCTTTACGGCGAGAAGCGACAGGTTCGTTCGTTACAGCCCGATGTAATTAGGTCGGAATATCTGCATGTGCAAGTAGTTCGGAGCCGCCAAAATGGGCAGACGGCTTTCGAAGTGTTGTCAGCCAGCCTATCCGCAACCCCTAGTTGACAACGATGCCTGCCATGCCCGCGCACGCCAACGTGCCACATAGGCCTGAGTGACGCTAAACGGCTCTTTTCTGCAAGGTGGCAGCTCCGAACCATTGGAACTTCCAGCGAAAACGCCCAAACGGTGCAAAAGGCCCCACCGACCAAACTACAAACTCCACATAACGGTGGTGATTGCGAGACAACAACGAAGACTAGTGTGCTGAGGCTTGAGACATGTCGAGTTTCTTTGAACGCAACAACGGGGCTGAATTCTTGGAATGCGGGGAGCCGTGGCTTTTCGGAAATTGCGTTTCGGTAACCCAATCCCCCCGCACTGGATGGAGGAACCGGGGAACATGCTAGCTGATCCACCACGACCGGACGCTCACGCTGGAAGCTTACGTTGCATGCAAAATATCCGCACCCTGGCAGCTGAGACTTCTGTAGTGTTTATTTGCGTGGGACAGGTTTGTCCGGCGATATCCCTATTAGAAATCATGTCATGTAAGATATGTCGCGGCATACCCTGCAAACTCGATGCTCGCTGAAACTGGCTGCAACTATTGCCACCCTCCGAAAGACCCAATCATTCCGCCACATGCCAAAAAGCAACAGCAGGCATTCGAATGGCGTCGTGGCGCAGATGCAAGCATCGCTTCCACTTTGGGGCGTCGGCACGTTTAGGGTTGCTATCACGGATCTCAAAGGACAACAACAACAACAGACTGAAGCCCAACATGAAACTGAATGGAATGCCATGCTGCGCTTCGTGGCATCAGCTTGCCCGTGCGAAGGCTGTCGAGGTGGTTGGCGATGACCCTAAGCTGATTTAGAGGTTTTGGGGTACGTCGCTGTATACTGACACAGCAAATAAACGTGGTTAGTTGTGTCAACAGTTACGCAGGCTTCTATATCATAGATCCGCAAGTCCTACTCTCGTAGCTACTCCCGGAGAGATTCAGGCGCAACGATCTAACAGAATACAGAACACAGGAGACTCCAGCAATCAAGGATGTGGGCAGAACTCCGTTCGACGTGGCCGTTGAACTTCAGAACATGATGGGGCAGTTCTGCTCTTCTGCTAGGACTGAGGGGCACACAGGACGGGAGCCGACCTTTCAACTCTGCGGCACTTTAAAAAAAACCAAAACTAAGCCCAAGGTCTCATCTGGATCT